AGGGGGGTGGGGCAGCGGGGGCGGCGTGTCTACAGAAGGTCCAGTTGTGATAGACACGGTTCGCCACTGGTAGAAGTACACAGTAGCAAAACATTTAAATACTCCAGTAAAAGTACCTCAACATTTTACTCAAGTACAGTACAATATTTTAACATAATTATATATATTTCATTTATTTCACATTTAAATAAAGCAATTAATTCGGTTAACAATTTGTTAGTTTTTCCCTTTAAAAAATAAAAAATAACAAAAAGTAAATACAAGAATACCGTTAAAGCACCGAATCGATAAGACTAGTAGTACCGTAGAAAACCTTAACGATACCCATCCCTAGATATTACACAAGTAAAGTGTTAAGAGAGTGAAATGTTGCTTTACGAATTTCAACACTTGATACTGTCACATTGATTCCAATTTCCGAAACCTGTATTTGTAACTGAATTGGTTTAAAGAGAGAAAACATTTTGACTAAAAGTTGACTAAAATGTAATTTTTCCTCGACTAAAAGTAGACTAAAACGTTTTGAGTTTTCGTCGACTAAAACTAGACTAAAACGTTTTTGTTTTGACTAAAACTATGAAGGATAGAAATGACTAAAATGTGACTAAAACTAATAACCATTTTCGTCTAAAGACTAAGACTAAATCAAAAGCAGCTGCCAAAATTAACACTGGTCAGCCACATGTTCCTCTCTCTCTCTGTCTCTGTCCCTCTCTCTTTATTTTTTAATTAATGTTATTCAATCAAGCCTCAAACTGATGGCACTTGTCCCTATAGCCTGTTTTAAATTGAAAGTTTGTCTGACGAGGTCCTTAACACCAGCTGCTCTTGCAGTAATAAGTAGTGTACCTTACTGTCCCAAATGTGCACAATGTAGTGGCTGCTTTTCGTCTTTTGTTTACTTAGTTGTGTTTTCTGTATTTTATATTTCTGTGTTATGTGTAAAGGTTAAATAAAAATAAATATATATATTATTTTTATATGTCAGATTCCTCCGCGTACCACTAGCGGGAGCTCGCGTAATTTACTAATTGTGTATGTTTTTGTGTGTGATTTACAGGAGACGTCCTTTCATGACCGCACCACCTGGATTGCCTTGACTGTTTGGCTTCCACGATGCTTGGTCTACAGGGAAGTACTTCAACCCCCAAGATGTATCGTTGTGTGGCATGTTCAGCCACCTTCCCTGGATTGGCCTCTTTGCTCGTACATCAAGCAACCCATGCTAGTGTACTCCCCAAGGTCTCTTCCCAGCCACAACTGAATGTCAGCCCTCCTGAAACACTGTTTGGAAGTATGAACTCATCCAGTGAGCAACCCGTTCCACTCTTGCCTGAGTGCCCTTCACCTTTTTGTTATATTTGTGATTGTGGAGAAGAGTTTCAGGACTTCAGTCTAATGCTGGAACATAAGCAGTCACATATCCCTGAAATCCATCTACTGCCACCTCCGAATTGTAATAGTGCTGGCTCTAGTAAAATAGCATTCGATAAAGATTTACCCTCCCTGCATGTACCAGAAGAAACACAGCCAGATTTGGCCCTTAGTCTCCCCTCTACCTCAAGGTATCCAGATGTTGAACTACCCACGTTAACAGAACATAAATCAAATGTAAGCCTGGAGGATGGCATTGTCATAGTAACCACTCCTCAAGGCCAAAGTACACCTTCTCAAGATGAAGTTGAGAATCAACTTGAGAAAATATCAGGCCCAGCAGAGCTCATACCACAGACTGTTGAGGACATGCATGTGCATGACCAAACACATTCTGTTCCCAGCAGCATGAAGGGTGAGTTCTTACCTAAAAATAACGCTTTAATGAAGATGCTCGCAACAGCATACATGAAGCACTCGCCACAGCCCCTGTCTGAGAATGAAGACGATAACACAGTTACCCCCAAACAAGAAGTGGTCCCCGTTGATATAACAACAGAAGCTAAAACTGAAGAGCCCCCAATCAACAATCTTTCAATTTTACAGTTGAGGCGGCTGCTTGCAAAACCCGGTATAAAGACAAAAGCTCCATCCATCAGCAGAATTCTTGAATCCAGTAAAAAGAAGGTTGTCTCTCTAACTAAGACTTTATCCCCCGTAGTGGTTCTTGAAACCCGCCAAAAGCTCATGGATCCTGGCAGTAATGGCACATATGGGAGATATCAATGTGGCCGCTGTCGAAGGGTCTTTCAAGATGTGGACAAACTTGCAGAGCATCATTTCTTGCACAAAAAAGAGAGGATTAAATGTTGCCGTCGCTGCAAACAGCTGATCATTGGGCGGCTCCCTTTACCTGATAATCATGTATGCCCTCGTTCAGGAAACAACACCACACAACCTTCAAGCTCTCTTAAAAAGAACTTACCATTTGCCAAAAGAATAGTTCCATTCCATAGCGTGAACAATTCAAAAAAAACGTTCTTTTGTCCAGTGTGCAAGCACAACTACGCTCGGATGTGGAACCTCAAAATGCATAAATGCCAGGGACCAACGTCAGCCCCCTTTACGCAGAAAAAACCCTTCTCTTTCGCTAGGACTCAACTCTCCAAGAGTGTTGCCGTGGGAACTGAACTTACTGGTCGTATCAAGGTGGAGGTGACCTCTCCTGATTCGGAGCAGTCTGCAGTTTCTCAGTTGGCCTGGGTTCATCCAGCAAAACGCTTCTTACCATTTCCCCCCAAATCTACCACAAGGGAACAGCACAAGCAAGGAGAAGAAAACAGCAGCTGGGATGCAGCAAATGAAATGGAAGACGGTGATGAAGGGGAGTGGACAATGCCCTTGGATGATGAAATGGAGGTGCTTAACTCTACAGAGAAAGCTGATACTGATGGAGAGGTGAATAATGCTGTAACAGGCGAACATCAAGGGACGTCGCTGCGCTATTTTGTCAGAGATGGTCTAAAACGTTACCCTTGTAACCGATGTCAGAAAACCTACAGTCGGCAATCGACTTTGAGGCGCCATCTACAGCTGTGTGGATTTAGGCCACGTGGATCTGGCACTGTAGCACAAAGTGGAAGTCATGGTGCCAGTTCCCTATCTGCAAACAATATGAAACCAATGTTTGCCTGTTTTGTATGTGGGAAGGAATTTAACCGCAAAGATAACATGATGGTTCACAGTAAGAAATGTCATTTGCAACAAAAAATCCCAGGCGGAGGACAGGTGGGTAGAGGGACTGTGCAGCAGAGTATGTCAGGCAATGCAACAGAGGAGGATGATGAAGGAAACTGGGGCATCATGTCACTGCCCTCCGTTCTTCCACGAAGGGTGACGTGTGAGTGCGGGGTGGGATTTACATCTCCTAGGCTTCTCTTGGTGCATCTGCAGAAACATGCACAGGAATCCTACACATGTCCGACTTGTGGAGAGACTGTCAATTCCTGGGCAGACTACGAAGTTCACCTTCAGATCCATATGCATCCTCATCACCAGCTGCTGAAGGCACTAAAACCACAACGATCACAACCATTGTTGCTTCGTTTTCAGCAGCTGCCGCCTCAGCAGAAGCCTCCTCCTCAGCAGAAGCCTCCTCCCCAGCAGAAGCCACCACCTCGGCCAGTGCATCAGCCCCCACAGAAGCAGCCACGCCCGCTGCAGCTTCCAAATCAATCAAAGAAGCAGCCACGCATTGTGTGCACCCGATGTGGGAACACCTTTTCCTCTCGCTGTTCCCTTCGGCGACACGTATCCTGGAACCGCTGCAAAGGTGTGCGTGCTACCAATGCCGCAAACCCACCCAAAACGTTCCAATGTTCAAAATGCAACTATGACTTCCCGAACACAACCAGTCTTATGTTTCACCAGAGGAGTGGTGCTTGCAAGCCTGCCATCAAGCCTGTGCGTTGCCCTGTTTGTCTTCGCTGGTTTGGCACTATGGACGGATTGCAGAGACACCTGCTTACTCACAAGCCGTCTGAATCCAAACAGTCTGAATCATATCGCTGTGATGTCTGTCAGGGTACCTACACAAACTTGAAATCACTCAAAAACCACCGCAGGAGGATCCATCGCATCATGGCTGGGGACACCACACCCAAAACGCAACAGCTGACTTCCTAATCACATTTTAGTTTCTAAGTAGACATGTGAGTGGTGCAGACCACATAGACCAACAGACCACATTTTTCATTTGTTGTATTTTTAAATATCTGCCAAAAGGTGTTTTTGTTATTTACTGCCTATCATACAATGTTATTGAAGCTTGACATTGTTAAAAAGACGATGCTGTGGTATGCTGTAAATAGTTAGGTTTAGTTAATCAATTTATTACATAACCTCATTGGCCTGTAAATAATGAAACGTGATGTAGCTCATTGTTGTTCCTGGTTTAATAAACATCCTAGTAAGTGAAACATGTAAGTTTTTATAATTGTGTGCAATATGGGATATTATCTTAAACTCTTCAAAGCAAGCAATGGATAGAATTGTATATATGTATATGCCTCCACATTATGTATGGGCAGTAAACAAACTCATCACTGAAATAGTCTTAGTCAGGGTACGTTAATAGTTGGGCAAAGCGAGCAGCCCAAAACGTGGTGCTCCCAAAAGGTCCAGGTTTTTCTCTTTTTAAACTTGTTTCTGCTTGTTTAGGAATGCTTAGGGGTAGGTATATTTAAAACATAGCAACACTGACAGGGTGAGATCCTTAAGGTGGCTCATACTTCCTTACCTGATAATGAGCCCTTGTTTTGAGGTCCATCTTTGCAAATGTTAGTTATTTTTATTTCATTTAGACTCTGTACTTCAGTCCATTTACTAAGCTCTATCACCATTTTATCCTAGCCGGTTACCATTGTATTTGAACAAAAGTAAGGTTTAAAGAAAAGTTCTCATTACCTTAGTCTTGGAGTAATAACTGGCTAATAAAAACATATTTTGATGTGTTGATTGAAGTGGATGGTCATTTATTCCATATTTACAGAGTCCTAATTGTTGTTTTCTGAATCAGATTTGTGTTTGTGTCTTGAGGTTGGAATCTTCTTCCAAACAAGGTTTGTATTAAACTAAATTGTTAAATATTTGTTACATTTGACATAATACTTTTATATAATCCATCTAGAGCTCTGAAATGGGACACTAAAAATGATAATCACTGCCTAATGAATGTACTTTGGTTAAGGAAAACAACATTTAATAAACTATGCTGACTGTAGAAAAACTACTACTAGTATTAGATTACATTGCATTTAGCTGACGCTTTTATCCAAAGCGACTTACAATAAGTGCATTCGACCAAGAAGATACAAACTTGAAGAAAACAGAATAATATAAGTAAATCAGGTTTCATAGAGCTAAAACATTTCAAGTGCTACTCAACTGGCTTTAGATAAGCCAGTCCTTTATTAGTATATAAGTGCTTTGTTAGCAATTCTTTGTTAGCAATTCTATCGCTCGAAGTGGAGTCGAAAGAGATGAGTTTTCAGTCTGATGATTCACCGTGTCAAATGCAGCAGACAGGTCCAAAAGGATGATGACAGAGGAGAGGGAGGCTGCTTTAGCCGTGTGCAGTTCCTCAGAGACAGCGAGGAGGGCAGTTTCTGTTGAGTGACCTTCCTTGAAACCAGACTGGTGCGGATCCAGAAAGTTGTTCTGATGGACATAACAGGAGAGTTGTTTAAAGACAGCGCGTTCAAGTGTTTTAGACAGGAACGGGAGGAGAGAGACAGGCCTGTAGTTTATAACATCGGACGGGTTGAGAGTGGGTTTCTTTAGGAGAGGGTTTACTCTTGCCTCCTTGAGACTGTTTGGAAAGTGACCAGAAGTTAGAGAAGTGTTGATGAAATGGGTGAGAAACGGTAGAATATCAGGAGCGATAGTCTGAAGGAGGTTTGAGGGGATAGGGTCCAGAGGACAGGTGGTAGGACGGGCAGAGGTAATGAGGGTAAGAACCTCACTTGGAGAGAGAGGGGAAAATTAGGTTAGTGTGTGGTTGAAAGGTGGGTCTGGTGACCCAGCGGTGAGTAAAGGTGAGTCAGAAAAAGAAGAGTGAATGTCATCAACCTTTTTTTCAACGTCGCTTGACAGAAGGGAGGAGGGGGAAGGGGCTTTGGGGGGTTCTAAGAGGGTGGAGAAATATATATGTCCTCTTAACGGCGTCCGACTTTAAC